GCAGGATTTGAGTCCCTGGTGGCGTATTGTGTTACTGATGGTAGGCTTTGTTACTTTGGTCCCAGCTCTCTGCAGGTCATTCACTAGGTCCCCCCGTGTGGTTCTGGGATTTTTGCTCACCGTTCTTGTGATCATTTTGACCCCACGGGGTGAGATCTTGCGTGGAGCCCCAGATCGATGGAGATTATCAGTGGCCTTGTATGTCTTCCATTTCCTAATAATTGCTCCCACAGTTGATTTATTCAAACCAAGCTGCTTACCTATTGCAGATTCAGTCTTCCCAGCCTGGTGCAGGTCTACAATTTTGTTTCTGGTGTCCTTTGACAGCTCTTTGGTCTTGGCCATAGTGGAGTTTGGAGTGTGACTGTTTGAGGTTGTGGACAGGTGTCTTTTATACAGGTAACGAGTGGAGGACAGAGGAGCCTCTTAAAGAAGAAGTTACAGGTCTGTGAGAGCCAGAAATCTTGCTTGTTTGTAGGTGACCAAATACTTATTTTCCACCATAATTTGCAAATAAATTCATTAAAAATCCTACAATGTGATTTTCTAGATAAGAAATTCTCAATTTGTCTGTCATACTTGACGTGTACCTATGATGAAAATTACAGGCCTCTCTCATCTTTTTAAGTGGGAGAACTTGCACAATTGGTGGCTGACAAAATACTTTTTTTCCCCACTGTACGTGTTTGTTTTGGGCTTCGGCCCCGTCGTTTTTTCAAGACGTAGCTTGTGTTGGGTGGAGTAATAAAAAACCCTAATACGTATTCCTTCGCCTGTCTTCTAATCATTATACAACGTGACATTTCTGAATTCTGTCGCTGTACATTTAAAAAGTGCTGAACAAAGTTATATTGACTACGTCTATCCTAGCTCGCTCATTGATGTCTTAATCGAAATTACGGATTGCCTCTGATCTGCTCGTCGTCCCCTTATGCCATAATTTGTACATCTCAATTGTCAGTAGAAACCACATTTGTTTAAGCAAGTCAGCCATATTGGCTATGTTTTTTTTAAAGGCAGTAAATGAGGCTGAATGAACTGTTTCACTGCCAGACAAGGCTCCGCTGATAGCCAGGTGTAGCGGTGATAAGGTGTTGGGACTGCTGTTGGGACTCTGCTGTTGGGACAGCTTTATGTAGGCCCTAACAGTTTGTGGGCACCGTTTGTCACCGTTATAGTCCAATTAATATATTGTTTAGTGTTGTGTTGTGGCTTTGCTGGCATGCATCTACAATTATTACTTTTTTTTGCCCCACCATCATTTACATCCTAAAATCGCCACTGCCCAGACCATTATTCCTCCCCCACCAAACTTTACTGTTGGCACTATGCACTGGGGCAGGTAGCATTCTCTTGGCATCCGCCAAACCCAGATTCATCCATCGGACTACCAGATGGTGAAGTGTGATTAATCACTCCAGAGAACGCGTTTCCACTGCTCCATAGTCCAATGGCGGCGAGTTTTACACCACTCCAGCTGACGCTTGGCATTGCGCATGGTGATCTTAGGCTTAATTCCGGCTGCTGGGCCATGGAAACCCATTTCATGAAGCTACCTACGAACAGTTATTGTGCTGACGTAGCTTCCAGAGGCAGTTTGGAACTTGGTAGTGAGTGTTGCAACCTAGGACAGATGATTTCTACGCACTACACGCTTCAGCGCTCGGCGGTTCCGTTCTGTGAGCTTGTGTGGCCTACCACTTCGCGGCTGAGCTGTTGTTGCTCCTAGATGTTTCCACTTCACAATAACAGCACTTGACCGGGGCAGCTCTAGCAGGGCAGAAATATGAACTGACTTGTTGGAAAGGTGGCTTCCTATGACGGTGCCACGTTGGAATGTCACTGAGCTTTTCATTAAGGCCATTCTACTGCCAATGTTTGTCTTTGAAGATTGCATGGCTGTGTGCTCGATTTAATAGACCTGTCAGCAACAGGTGTGGCTGAAATAGCCGAATCCACTAATTTGAAGGGGTGTCCACATACTTTTGTATATATGGTGTAGATGGAAGGGACTTCATCACCCACTGGAGACTTGAAGACAGAACCTCACCCAGAGAGCAGTGCATGTCAATGTGTTAGACAGACAAATCCTTAGATTTGGCCAAATAGACCATAGAAATAGAAATGCCATTCTAGTTCTGGTTAGACAGCTGAAGTTGTACTCTGCACACAACTGATTTTGATAGGTAAAGTGTAAGCATACTGTCTAAATAAGCACATCAATATGATATTTATATCAGAAAATGTTTTGTCTTTGTAACACGATAACATCCATTGATTTTTTTGTTGATGTTTGTGCAATGTCCACATGTAGCCGACACCTGTAGGGATATTAGTTATGGGATTTGTATTCCGGTAAAGATTTAACTGCGGACATAAGGAGAGACGAGATGAGACAAAACTAGCCAGTTATAGAATATTGTGTTGTAGGACAGCTGAGCTGACTGAAGACTGCAGGCATTCAACTCCCAGTAGTTGGTATCGTCTCCACAGTAGCATGTATTTACATGACGTGATGAAACGTTGAAACTAAGTTGCAAGCTACTTTCTTAGCAAGGCATTGTACACTGAACAAAAATATTAACGCTTCATGTAAAGTGCTGGTCTTATGTTTCATGTGCTGATGAAATTAAAGATCCCAGAAATCTTTCATACGCACAATAAGCTTATTTAGCTCAAATTTTGTGCATACATTTGTTTACATCCCTGTTAGTGAGCATTTCTCCTTTGCCAAGATAATCTATCCACCTGACACGTGTGGCATATCAAGAAGCTGATTAAACTGCATAATCATTACACAGGTGCACCTTGTGCTGGAGACAATAAAAGGCCACTCTAAAATGTGCAGTTTTGTCACACAACACAATGTCACAGATGTTTTAAGTTTTGAGGAATGTGCAATTGGCATGCTGACTGCAGGAATGTCCACCAGACCTGTTGCCAGACAATTGAATGGCTTGCTGATGTCAACGTTGTGAACAGAGTGTCCCATGGTGGCGGTGGGGTTATGGTATGGGCAGGCATAAGCTACGGACAATGAACACAATTGCATTTCATCAATGCCAATTTGAATGCACCGTGACAAGATCCTGAGGCCCATTGTCGTGCCATTCATCCGGCGCCATCACCTCATGTTTCAGCATGGTAATGGATGGCCCCATGTTGCAAGGATCTGTACACAATTCCTGGAAGCTGAAAATGTCCCAGTTCTTGGCCTGCATACTCACCAGACATATCAGACATTGAGCGTGTTTGCGATGCTCTGGATCGATGTGTACGACAGTGTGTTCCAGTTCCCGCCAATATCCAGCATCTTCGCACAGCCATTGAAGAGGAGTGGGACAACATACCATTAGATTAGGGCCTAATGAATTTATTTCAATTGACTGATTTCCTTATACCTCAGTAAAATCTTTGAAATTGTTGCATGTTGCGTTTATATTTTTGTTCAGTATAGAACGAGTGTCTTATAATACACATTCCAGACACTGGCTCTTGCCATCTTGCCATAACTGATTTGACAGAGAAATATCATCTAGATTGGATAGCCAGCTTCAGCTATCACCAAGCTATGCTAGCTAGCTGCTGTCAGCTTGGCTTAACACAAGGTCAGCACAGGCTTCAGCCTACACATAGAAATGAATTAGCTGACCTTCTTGAGATGGCGAGTCTGTCAGGAGGCGAGAAATCCTCAACTTCAAAACTTTGTTCTCTCCTTAGCAAAGCTAGCTTATCTTACCTCACTGTACTCACTACTGCACTTGTTTGTCGTGATTGAATGACAAAGACACACCCAAGAATCACCCAGATCAAACCACACCCCCAAGACAACTCTTGTTTGCCTGTCATGGCCACTACAATTTCTTAATGAGCGTTGATGAAAAACGAGGCCAAATCAGGAAGTTGACTTTAATATTTCTATCACGCTGTAACGCTGAACTTCCGCAATACGGATTGAAAGCCCGGTTTTGACTATACAAGCGGCACTCGCCTAGCCACACTACATACACTGCACACTTCCAGTCCCGCACACACACACCCTCTCACAAACACACGCACGCGCCCTTGGAATTGAATTGTTATCAACAGTGCAGGTTTTGGAGGCTGACAAAAAATATAGCAGCTATTATCAATAAATCATCTCAATTTCATTAATATTTCCAACAACTCTTGAATTGTACAAAGAACCTTGTATCACTAATGAGACGATGCAGAAACCCAAGTTTTCAACTGCTGTCAGTAATAGTTACCCTTGACAAAGATACAATCCAAAAAAGCAACACCACCATCTACAGGACATACAGCAGGCAAATTAAATTATGGCTGCGTAGTACCATAACGCCTATTACAGACTCCCTACTAATGTCTACTTAAAAATGTGTATTTTATAAATAATCTGTGAGATGATAGGTATAACTCTCCTTTTCTCTCCTGTCTCCCTCTGTTCTGTTTTGTCTGTAACACTGCAGTGCTCAGGTGATGGCTGGCTCCTATTTCTCTGCTCCAGCACAAATAAGCCAAACCAGGAAGTAAACACGCAGTGTCATCACATTCCTTGGTCCTTTGGGAAACACTGGGGCCCAATTACGCTGTTCCTGAATCAGTCACATAGCAAACCCACGCAGCTGTGTCCCTTGTGGGCTAACCCAGATTACCCCTCCTGACAACACACAGCCATGTAGCCTACTAATTCAAATCAATGCCATACCATAGCAACAGTTTACCTAGAGTATAGAGCATTAAAAACACTGCTCCTGCTCACCTGTAGAGGGCAATCACTAGATGGCCATGTTATAAAGGACAAAAATGTCTGTGTTATCAGAATTGATGAGCAGTTACTGCACATTAGTAATTTGTTATCACCCCCACTACAGATACAATTGGCCATTAATTAACTCAGTTTCAGCAGCAGGTCAGGTGGATTGATGAGGGCGAGATTCAAACCAGGCTTGTTCACAGGCAGTGATGAGCAATTTCAAAACAGCCAGGGTTCCTGTCCATACAAACTCATTTAATATGCAGATGATGTGCAGTTTCAGTGAAAGGGAGATTAGGTTTGTACATGGCAGTGTGAATCTGAAGTTAGTATTCAGCTCTTAGTACAAGACAGTCAATAACATTGAAAAGGCTCAGTAAACATGTTTAGCACAATCTAAAAGGAATGTCAAAATATAAAACATAAACATAACACATTAAAATAACATTTTACTTGAATGCATAAGAAAAATCACATTATTCACCTAGGCTATTTTGAGGGTGGGGTTGGATGGTCAGAACAGAAGTGGTTGATCCGGTATGGTGGGGTACTTCAGGGTAAATGTCAATATTTTGGGTGAAAAATGAAAAACAGCACAACATTGACATGATTTACATGAATCCAACCACTTCCTTGTTCCTTGTCAACAAAAGATTCTTAAAGCAAAGCTGAGTACATTTATATTTTTATTGATTTACATTAATATATGTAAAGTAATTTGCAGGTACAAAAGTACATCTATCTGTAAGTATCATTACTCTGAGATTATATAATATGTAAGCTTCTCATGTGTCTTTACTGTGATGACGTCTTGTGGAAATTGAGAATGATATTATGAGAATGTGACTAGGTACTTTTGAGGTTGCTTGCTGCACAGCATTCCTAAAACCATTCACCTTCTAATCACTCTGGCAGAGGACCAACCTGACACTGTGGACTAACTTGACTTCCTTATATAGCATGTTGTTGTCGTTCACATTCTCATCTGAACTTTATTTACCCAGGAGCAGGCCATTGAGATTGCAAAATATATTTTACAAGAGAGAATAGGCATATAAGTGGCAGTAGAAAGACCAAGTCATTTAAAGAACAAATCATGTATAGTGCAAATCAAGACTGCTGATATAATGCTACAGATAGTTTGTTGAAAAAAGTGCAACTTGTGTTTGTGGATTACAATACTTGCGACAGTTAGATGGTTTAACTATTATCATTTTAACAGAACGGGTGCCCAAAATGTTCTTAACTAACAGTTCATACATATCCACTAGTAGGAGTATATTTAGCTAGTAAAGACTATGGAAATCCACACATCTAAAGTGAGGAAACTAGTATGTTTTTCTAACGGACACAGTAATGGCTTCACATTTATACTATTAGTCCCTCAACCCAAATAGAAATGCCATGGTTGCATGGCTAAAACACTAAGATAAAAGTAGCTACAGAATTCTGAGGTTGCAAATAATGTAGTTTAAGGCTTAAAATCAATTACATTTTTGTCGTTGACATATCAACTTTCATAGCGTCCTAATTGAACATTCCAAATGGCACGCTCTATAAGCATGGGCAAGTGTACCCACCATTGAACATTTGTTTGGAATTTTAAATCTCTGTGTTTATTAGTTTCATCTGCCTTCCTCAGGCAGCATGGATCCAGACCTCATTGTGTCGGCCAATCAGAGTCCACGGACCTTCATACCCTGCCGCGATGTACTGGTGGGAGTCAAAGGCTTTCCCAGCCTGTGTCAGGGCATCACGTAGCGTCTTCAAGTTTTCCTGGAAGTTGTAGTCTGACGGAAAACCACTGAAAGTCCTGAGAGAGAGAGAAAGAGAGTTAAAAAACAGAGACATAGACTTAAAAAACCTCTACAGCAGGATTTGGCTCCTAGTAAGAAACAAGATGGCAACGGTGGTTCCTCACCTGACATATATGGTGCCAGCAGCCATAGTCTCGTCCCTGATTGAGGCATCATTGGGAGTGGGGAGGACTGTATCTTCTGCAGCCACATAGAAAGAGAGAGATACATGCTTCTCTCCACCATCCTCTACCTCAGTCGTAGAAATGAGTGCAGGCCAGGTATGAGTATTGACATGTTCACCTGAGAAGGAATGATAAAAAACACAACATACATTTTATATTTTACAACCAAAGAGCAAATAAAAAGGGTTCTTTGAAATATGATATTCATTCAAATGATTCATACTTTAGGTTAATTTAAAGATTTTAAGTTAATATATAAAATCTTTAAATTGTGCATTCCAACAGGTAGGCTTCCAGTTGTGTAGGCTACTGTAATTACACTGCACTTGCCTATGTTACTAGGCTACCATGTAATAATAGGTATTTTTCTCTTTAATGTTGAATGTTAATGTTAAGTGGATTGCCATATTAAACATATCTTCATGAGAGGGCCATATACAGTACCTAGTAATGCCATGTACAGTTAGAAAGCTCAGATTTCTTGCTTTTTGGGGTATTTATTATTTATCTATGATTTGTATGCACCTTTTCCACTAGTGTGCACTGCTATAGTAAATAGAATGAAAAATAGTACATTGTAGATTTTATTTTCAAATGTCATATGCTATGAACAATCTATTCATGAAAAATGATGGAATAGGGCTTAATCTACATAATATACTAAACTTTACAATTGACATGCTATAAGATTTCAGCTGCCTTATTACCGTAATCATTTTTAGATAACTAGAGATCAGGGAAAATCCTACTCATTTCCTGGTGGACTGCTCTCATTCATTGTTGTCTCTCCCCCTGTGAACGTACCACAGAGTTGGCTAGCAAATCAACTGATTTGTCACAATCTCAGCTTTCATATAATATAAAGTGTGTCCCTCTGTGGTGAAAACAAAGTGGTTTTGTGTCACATCTTCACATTGTGTTACATTTTATTTAAATTCGATACAAATCGATTTGTGTTTGTCATAGAACAATGAGAATATTAACTATCGCAGCAGTAGACTCTCAGCATTGCAGCGCTATGCTGCTTGTGTGCCTGAGATGTACGCCTGAGATGTACAAATTGTCGGACAGTCCGATCAGCGAATTAGCGTTAAGGCGGGACTCCCGAGCCTCCAATGGCTGTGGATATGTAACCCGATACCGCTAACCTAACGCAGCAGTCGTAAAAGAAACGCCTGAAACTACGCCCCTACCCTACATACTGGTCTTGCCGAGAATTAAAAAAACTTTCGGGGGAGGTTCTCCTCTGCACTTTTCAAACCAATCCAGTTAATGTAGAGGAGGAATTAAGATGGTGTGTCGCCTTGTTAATGTCCAAAAGCAGAAGTCGTGTCACAGGCTCTCTTTCCAATTCCCCTGAAAACCGGAGCATCCGGTTGTTGGGGACTCGGCAGAGACTATATACCCCAGAGTCAATCGAGGCCAACTGAATTGAAGCAGGGATGCGGGGATGTCAGCCAGAACTGTCGCGAAGCTATTTGGACTGAAATAAATTGATTTATAAGTGAATTACCTTGATATGCCTTGATAAAACAATTTAATTATAACGAAAGTCCCCTAAATAGGGGAATTAACATTTAATTGGTATTGGACACTTGTAGGCTACAGTAGTATTGAAAAGGTCTTTCATGTAAATTACATTTCCTTGAAGTACATTTCAGTAAAACATAATACTGCATGCTATAACTTGCAATTAATCAATAAGGTCATTATTGCAGTTGAAGCAATATTGAGACATCCACCTGCTTGATTGTCCCACTGGGTGTAGTCCCACAGCTTCGTGAATCCAGCCTTCACGTCGTGGTCAGAGACACTCAGACTGTCGACGGTTATCCAGCGGCTCACTTGGTACGCACGTTCCTCAAAGTCCTGTTGAAATAAAAACAACGTTAGGCTATTTAACCATTACATCTCAAGCTTCTTACACCAGTTATAAAATGTGTCATAGATCTCTATATTCACTTACCTCATATTTATTAACGACCGTGAACTCAGGACAATCATAGTTATGGCAAAACGGCGGCGCATCCCATCCATGCGCACCGCGTAAAAACACCACGGCCAGAACCGAGAGAAGCGCTGTTACCTCGGGATACTTCATTTTGTCGCGGCCTAAACTCGGATGATACTTTCAATTTTAACAGCTCTCTAGACTGTCTTTGCATTTTGATGACACACCTACAATACCTTTCTGAGAAAACAGGTGTTGCCTGACTATTTTCTTCGTCGGAGGGGGGGAGGGAGCCAAATAAACAACCATGCAATACCCAGGGGAAGGGCCGGGGAGTTGTCCCCTGGGCCTGGGAGTTGTCTGGTTATGGTCTACGTCCATAACCAGACAACGGAAGGGGCTAACCTTATAGAACTGGTCCAACTGGTTGGTCCAACTGGTCCAACTGGTCACTGCTGTTGTTATGCCCATAACAGTAAGTAATTGGCCAAGAGCAGGGATGCCAGATCCAAAATCAAATTCTGACAGAATCGTCGCCTATATTCATAAGCTGGTCTAGACAGTTTCAGCTGCACAATGCAATGCAATGCAATGCAATGTTATGACTTTAATGGGGCGACTTTGTCTTAACAGACAAGCAATGAGACAAGTTATGAAGTCTTTGGTTTGCTAATCAGAGGAGAATTGATACCCGTTTTCTGGTCTAGGTGTCTGTGGATTTACATTAACTTTGTGTGGGCCATTATTGCTCCTGGCTTGCCCTTGATGGATGGAGCCTGGGGTGAATAACAAAAAAACACCAGACATGTCAGATGGCATTCAGCAGCTATTTGAGGCTCCAGCCTTAACATAACTACTGGTTCAATTACCATGACAGAGATGACCACATGACAAACTGTCTAACACCTTGTAGCATGTGAAATGGTACATGTCAAAATCTAGTATGCACACTAAAAGAATAGTGATGGTGTTGAAAAAGAAGAAAGGTTTACTGTAGCAATCCCTCTATATTACAATAAAATGGAGGTAGAGATTATATAATTATTTTATTGAAACTATTATTATATTTTGATAAAACTCCCCATTGAGACATAATCCAAGCCACTGTGCATGTGAGAGTGTATTCCACGGCAATGCTCCGTTTCTAATAAATGCATTACTCACTCACCTCCTGACCTAGTACTTGCCAAGGAGTGGAATGTAATAGCTGAACAGAGACAGCAACCAGGCTATTCCTGACCTAAAGTACATAGCTTAAACAATAGCTATTCATTCTATACTCTCCTTTTTCATTCTTTCTCTTATTGTTATTTGAACTGTAGTTTAAGTCTGTCACACCGATGACTAGGTAAGTGTTGGCAGTAGGCCTTTAGTAAACCTACTTCCCACTGCGCACACACTAGTTGAATCAATGTTGTTTCCACGTCATTTCAACTAAATTATGTTGCACCAACGTGGAATAGATGTTGAATTGACAACTGTGCCCAGTGGATTGTAGGCTTTTGTATACAGTAAATTTACCTGTTCCCTTTGTTTGCTTACATTTTGCACCTGCACTTTTGGACAGTGGTAAATAAATGCATCCACTCCTCAACACACCTTACTTCCTGCTTCGTTCCTGCCATGAAGACCACCTCTCTGTCCACAACACTATGTTGTAGTGTTCATTAGTGAGTTATTGGGCTCACATAGTCATGATGAGTGGTCGAAATCTGCACAGTCATGGTATCAGAGCTAATTTTAGTGGTCATTAGAGCAACTAAATATCTTCGACTATGGCAGAGTAGTCATGGCAAATGACAAAGGGCAGAAACCTGTTGGAACATTAGTAGGCCTACATTGTTAGAGGCAACCCGTCTGTCTATAGCAACTGTTTCCAACCTTTTCTGTTCCTACGTTCACCAAATCACTGTCAACAGCTCTCGAGGACCACCATTTGCAGATTCGCAGAATTGTTAAACATAAAATATCTTGGCTGTTAAATTTAGTCAATTTTATCAGTGAATGTAACAGATTAATGCCTAATAATATTTTTATTATTATAAACAATTTGTATTGTGAAAAGTAACGTAAAATTGTTTATAATACCATTAATACTCCCAACAGTTATTATTTTTTGAAGAAACATTTAATAAATAATGAAACAAATCGCGGACCACCTGCAGTACCCCGTGGACCACAGATTGAAATCCACTGGTCTAGAGCAGGGATGGACTGATGCCGGTGGGGGTCACAAAAAATCTGAACTCATCGTGAGGGGCCGCAGTGGCTGGCGGGTCTGCGTATCCACATCCATACCCACACATGCAGTCAGAGCCTTAGCCTTTTGGGGACCCTAAGCAAAAAAAATTTGTTTTGGAGTGGCCCCCTTCTTGACAGCGGAGAGAAAACGTATACGTTTTTAGAGTTATTTCGGTAATTCGTCCATGATTACTATAAATTTAGATATCTGGCTAGACTAACATTTTTTGATGACATGGGCTAATTGAGTGACTATCAGTGACAGATATAACAAGAGAAAAACTGCTGATGCACAACCAAATTTCGAAATTGCGCCTTCGTGTATTCTACTATTCTAACTCTCAACAGTAAAGCCAGTTGCACATCCCTGGTCTAGAGAGACTAAAGGCACATGGGTTCCCAAACCTTTAATTTCGAGGCACCCTAAATATAATTAGGGCTACATAAATGCAAACCATTCGTTTTTTAACGTTTTTGTTCACATTTTCCGCCTTAGGCCTACTTCCTGGATCCAGTCCCATGCTGTTTTTGACTGGACGTTAAGATCAAATTCATGAACACGCGGTCACTTAAACACAGCTATATATTCATATTTGTGGACTAATTTAGGCTACTTCTATCCAATAATTGCTCATGTAAGTCGGTCTGGATAAGAGTGTCTGCTGAAATGAAAAGTGCACATTGGATTCATGTGATACAGATCGCCTAAACGTATCTCATAATAATGACTTACTATCTCATTATAACGACTTACTATCTTATAATTATGATTTAGTACCTCATTATTATGAATTACTATATCATAATAATGACTTACTATCTCATAATTATGATTTACTATCTCATAATTTATAGTCAGATTTTCCTTTTTTGGTGGCAGGAACGAGTTTCCATAGTAGACCTATTTATGCCGACCAATATCTCCACAAGGTTTTCAATCTCAATCAAGTCTACGCTAGGCCTAGTTATATGATTGGAAACCTGATTAATGCAGTTGGTTTACAGGGCTAAAATCATGCAGCAGATGGCGCAGGAAGACAACCGGTCCTCGCCACTCAATCCCTGAGGCAGAAAGAGATAGACCCAGCACGAGCTGCGAAGCATCTGCAGCCACTACTTCTCCCTTCTGGCCGAAGCGCAGGAGCAGGAGTGCCCTAGGCAAAGGCTGTATGTGCGAGGCAGCAGGCATGCCCAGAAACAGCCCACGAGCCGATGATGGGCTCTCCAGAAGAAACTGCGTGCAGACTACTTTGAGAAAGGCGGGAATATAGGAGAGCACTGCTTGTCTTGGATAGTTTCAAAATGGGCGTCAGAGAGAGAGAACAAACATGAAATTGGTATAAATATCTGGACGTTAGATAAAGAGTGTACATTTGGGTAAGTGCATGTGTGGAGTTAGGTTTGGGTGGCTTGTGCACTTAATTAGTAGGTTACCGTCGTAGTGTTAACTTCTTATTGGAGTAAACTAGCCAAAATTCAACGATGGAGAAGGGGATGCAGCCCCAGCTGATGGCCAAGAGCGCAGAGAGTCCGGCGGAGGAGCTCTCCAAGATAAGCGACGAGCAGCTGGTGAAGTGGAGCAAAGAGGAGCTCGTGCGGCGGCTACGGAGGGCAGAAGCCGAGAAGATGGGCGTCATGCTTGACCACGGAAATTTGATCCGGGAGGTGAACCGGCGACTCCAGCAGCACCTGACAGAGATCCGGGGTTTGAAGGTGAGGCAGGTGTGATGTTGATAATGCCGGGCGCACAAGTTTGCGCACTGCTCTATGGATGTCTGATGGTTTCCTGGTTCAAAAAGCCATGGTCTAATTATTATTATCATTAATTCGTTAAAAAAGCTGTAGTTTACCGCTGCAAACTCCTTAAAAATAACAAAGGTAGGGGGTTTGAAGGTAGCAAGGTAGTCTTCAAGTGTTACATAATCCAACCCAATGGACCACGTGTTGCTTGTATGTTTATCATAACAGCTGGAACTGCTGAAGGTATCTAGCCCTTATCTGCAGTCAAATGACCTAGTGTCCTCATGGGTGGAATGTTGTTAATCTTTTTCATAATTTCATAATAAAAAATATTATAAAAAATAAATAAAATAAAAGGTGTTTCTATGTCAAATGGTTTTGTTATATTTCAGTCTTCTGTGATGTAAATAAAGTATAATATTGGGATGCAAACTCAAAATTGAATACATTTCAACTCTATATCTGACAGGTGTCTGAGGTGTATACTTTTTAGATTTGTTTAAGACTACCAAGAAACACTCTGTGTGACCCTGACACTGCTGTAAAATATTGAAATAGAACCACAAAAGTAAAATTTTTTAGGCCTATGATTTTTAAAATAACGATAATATAAAAAAAATAATATATATGTATATATATTACCATCAACACACACACACGCTCCCTCAATGCACAATTGCGTGCTCAACATTTGTTATCACAATGCACAATTGCGTGCTCAACATTATCACAATTCCCATATGATAAATGATATATCACCTCCTCTGTGCTTGCTCCTGTGTGTGTGTGTGTGTGTGTGTGTGTGTGTGTATCCAGGATGTGAACCAGAAGCTGCAGGAGGATAACCAAGAGCTGCGGGACCTGTGCTGTTTCCTTGATGATGACCGTCAGAAGGGCAAGCGTGTATCTCGGGAGTGGCAGCGTCTGGGACGCTACAGCGCCGGCCTCATGAGGAAAGAGGTGTCCCTTTACCTGCACAAACTCAAGGAGCTGGAGCAGCGCCAGGGAGAGATGATCAGAGAGAACCTGGAGCTCAAGGAGCTGTGTATCCTACTGGACGAGGAGAGGGGAGGAGGAGGGGGAGGGGGAGGAGCAGTGCATGGTGCAGGGTGCAGAAGTTCCATCGACAGCCAGAGTAGTCTGTCTCAAACTGGGGGGGCTACAACGTGTCTGCTCCGAGACGTGGGGGATGGGAGCAGCACCTCCAGCGCAGGGAGCACAGACAGCCCCGACAACCCCCACCACAAGCCCCCTCACCAGGGCTCCAGGCTGGGCTCCAACCCTGGCTCCAAACATGACAAACCAGAGGGCCCAGGCCCCGAGTCTACAGGCCGTCGCCACAGCTCCACCCCAGACTACCACACCTTCCCCCAGGCCTGCAGGCCCCGCGGGGGGTCCCTCACCAGCCCTGACCCCAGGGGCCTCCGGGGGCCCTGCAGCCCAGAGAAACACGGCAAATCCCCTACTAGACTGGAGGCCGAGGCTCACTCCAAACCCAGCAGTGCTGACATGCTGGCCCAGAAACAGCTCTTGGGGGCTGGGCAAGGGCTAGGGCCAAACCAGGGTCCGGGTCAGTCAAGTCCAGACCTCTCACAGAGACACAGGGGTAATACGGTCGTGGTTGGGACTGGATGTGGGAGCCCTGAGGCCAAACAGGCAATGCCGGGGACACCAGAGCACCTGAGGAAGGGTCGGGTGATAGTGGGGAGTCCTGAAGTGTTACGACACCAGAACCACCACCACAGCCCCAGTTCAGAGCACGGGAAGGGGAGGTACGGCAGCAGCCCCCCAGCAGCTAGGGAGGGGGGACAGAGGAGGACCACTGGAGACGAGTTGTCCCCTCACCACCGCAGCATCTACAATGGCATGAACGGTGCGTTTTTATTCAGAATAGTAATAATGTTTTATTTGATTATTTATCAGGGAAAATACTGTATGTAGCTGAGATGGTTCAGGGAACTATGTCTGTGTGATGAGTCTGAGACATTAACCCTGTCTGAGACATATAGTAAACACTTGTGCAAATGCCTAGGCTTTAGCTGAGTGGGCTAACATGGTCTTTAGGTGTGCAGGCAATATGGGTTAGCACACCCTGTAGCCCTCCAGGACCACTGTATATGACTAGAACAACCATATAGGCAGATGTAACACAATTGACTGTGTAATGTGTTTAGCATTGGGCTATGGCAGGTTCAGTTACTGTGGTATCACCTATGTGGTTCAGCAGCAGTTATGGTGTTAGCCAAGCAGCAGTGATGTCACCGCTCTGTGGGATTCTCTCTCTGTGGGTCACATGGGGTTGTGGTGGTGGTGTTTGTGTGTGTGGATGGATGGTGGAGGGCATATGATGTAACACTCCCCAGGTTGTCTGAAGTCAACACAGGTAACACAGCTGTGTGCGTTCAGGGCCGTGATTCAGGCAACACACACACACGCATACCCACACACACAGCCTGAAGGTGTGTTACTCAGCACAGCAGGGTCCTGTCTTCTTAGTTCATTATTATTATTAGCAGCAGCATCTTTTAGTTATTTTTACCCGCAGTTCCAAGGGCATGTGTTTGTGTGTGTGTCTAAGAGTTCAGGGAGTTATTTTGCCGCACAGTGTGTCCTGGATAAACACGGAAAGGGAGTGAGTCTATCAGTAAGGGTCTCCACATAGTTAAATACAAGGCTTTCATTTAACAGTTAAAGAACATGAAATCAAACTGATTTTCATAATAACCTAGACAAATGGTTCTCTTTTGATAGTAAACGCCTTTCATACCTAAAAAGATTTCTAGGAATCCATTTCAGTGACTGCATTGACTGAGGGACAGCTGAGTATGTATTCATAGATGCTCTGTCCCTTAGTAAGTATGCATGTATTAGGGATACATTTCGTGAGTATGTTTTTCCATTTAAGAATGTGTGTGCACATGTTTATATGTGTGTGTGTGTGTGTGAGAGAGAGAGAGAGTGAGTGTGTGCGTGTGTGCCTATGTGTGTGTGTGTGTGTGTGTGTGTGTGTGTGTGTGTCTGCAGCCTTGAGATCTAAAGACTAGTGTAGAGTGCTGAGTGGATCCTCTGTGTAAGGCCATGGGAATGAGTCCTGGAGGTGAGCAGTTAGCCTGACGTGTCGCTCATCACCACAATACTACACGCTCATTTACACACTAGTCTACTCAGTAGGAAAAACACTCTAGATACATAATGTAGACTGGGGGGATTCTGTTTTTGGGTGATGTAGTTGCTACCTTGTCTAAAGAAGTACTATTTAAGATCCAGTATTGATGAGAGGATTGATTATTTGATGAGAAGATTGATTATTGGAGGCATGTTGAAAGGGGATGACATAGTAATTGAGAAGTGGGCCAGTGGTACTGTGCACAGAGTTTATTATAAGGCTTTAGAACACACATCACTGTGAGAACAGGGTGTATAGTACAGTATGATCAAATCATACACAGATTTGCAGATGTTATCGCAGGTGCAGAGAAATGCTTGTATTTCTAGCTCCAACAGTGCAGTAATACCTAGCAATAATAAAATCAAATAAACAATACACACCTAATCCAGAAAAAAAATTATAAACACATTAAGAAATATCAGAATGAGCAATGTCAGAGACCGGAATATAAATATATATACATACAGTGCATTCGGAAAGTATTCAGAGCCCTTGACTTTTTCCACGTTACGTTGCAGCCTTATTCTAAAATGGATGAAATTGTTTTGTTTTCTCTCGTCAATCTACACACAATACCCCATAATGACAAAGCAAAAACAGTTTCTTAGACATTTTTGCAAATGTATTAAGAATAGAAAACGGAAATATACATTTACAAAAGTATTCAGACCCTTTACTCATTACTTTGTTGAAGCACCTTTGGCAGCGATTACAGCCTTGAGTCCTCTTGGGTATGATGCTACAAGCTTGGCACACCTGTATTTGGGGAGTTTCTCAAATTCTTCTCTGTAGATCCTCTCAAGCTCTGTCAGGTTGGATGGGAAGTTTCGCTGCACAGCTATTTTCAGGTCTCTCCAGAGATGTTCGATCGGGTTCAAGTCTCAAGGACATTCAGAGACTTGTCCCAAAGCCACTCCTGCGTTGTCTTGGCTGTGTGCTTAGGCTCGTTGTCCTGTTGGAAGGTGAACCTTCGCTCCAGTCTTAGGTCCTGAGCACTCTGTAGCAGGTTTTCATCAAGGATCTCTTTATACTTTGCTCCGTTCATCTTTCCCTCGATCCTGACTAGTCTCCCAGTCCCTGCCGCTGAAAAACATCCCCACAGCATGATGCTGCCACCGCCATGCTTCACCGTAGGGATGGTCCCAGGTTTCCTCCAGATGTGACGCTTGGCAGTCAGGCCAAAGAGTTCAATCTTGGTTTCATCAGACCAGAGAATCATGTTTCACATGGTCTGAGAGTCTTTAGGTGCCTTTTGGAAACTTGGCTCATCGTGCTCTAGCGACTCCTTGTGGTGGGCCAGGTGCCTGCAGGCTGACTTCAGTCGTCAGTTGAATGCTGTTTCCTCTGACACATTGGTGCGGCTGGCTTCCGGATTAAGGTGGCAGGTGTTAAGGAGTGTGGTTTGGCGGGTCATGTTTCGGAGGACACATGACTCGACCTTCACCTCTTCCGAGCCTGTTGGGGAGTTGCAGCGATGAGACAAGATCACAATAAAAAATAATATTTCAGTTTTACCGGTCAGAAAACGTATGGCTTCATTCCCAGAACCAATGGGTAACCAAACACGTACATTCCCACAGTCTCTTCGATTCCTCCTCTCTCTCTTTTTCTCTTTTTCTGTTAATTCCTTTGCCTCATTCTTTCTCTCAGCCTCTCCCTCTCTCTGCTCCCTCCCTCCCTGCTGTTGAAGCTGAGTTTATTGGGAAATGAATGTCTCCGTCTGGTGCTCACTCACCCCTCTGACACCATGAGCTAACGAGGGGAGAACATTCTACAGCACTGCTCTCCCTCCCCCTTCTCTCTCTATCACCCTACGCCTTCTCGTTCTCCCCCTCTGCCTTCCACTCTTTCTGTCTCCATCCCTCTGTTAATGTTGCAGAACCAATTAGACTAACACATACTGTGGTCTGGTCTGTTGGTCTGAGGGTTATAGGCACATAGAGGCACCAGTTATCCAGTTAACCCTTTCACTTTTGGTGCTGGTGTTGTGTGTCCGCCTGTGCCCTCTCGGTTTCTGTGCCAAGTCTATCTTTTTCTGTATCTGCTTGTGCCTTACTGGTGTTTTGCCATTGTACGTGTCTGTGACAATCCTGTTCCCTATGTCTGTGAGCAGTGTGTGTGCCTTGTGTTGTGCTCTATCAAATTGAACTCGATTTTACTGGCATGACTGTAAATATTTTACCTGCAGTAAATAACATGGTTAATCACAGAGTAATAGAGGGTTAGACAAATGTATTAAAGTGTCACTCCACAATGATACAATAATTGACAATACAAAATACAGATTTTTTTTTAAACACGTTGTGGACCACTCAAATAGAGTTTTGAGACACAAAAACACTAGCATAGTCCTTTGGCGTCGTCTCTAATACATCACATCATCTATACATTATTGGTATCAGTTATTATACATTGGGTAATCTATACAAGTGTATGCATAAAAAAAACAAAGTACAGTAGATAAAAGGACATTTAGGCACTTATAAAGTAATGCACAATCAGCAATTAATGAATGCTTTATCACATTTTTCAAAACCTGGTAACATGCTCCCTGTCTCAATGGTTTCCATGGGCTCTAGCCTAACCCTGTCTGTGTGCCTGTTCTCTCTCTGGTCTCCCTCTGTCCTGCCTGCTCTTCTCCTTTGAACCTGCATCTAAGTTCAGCAATGTAATGTGTCTTCCAAAGAACCAACTGTACATGTACATCAGTGGAGGCTGGTTTGAGGAGCTATGGGAGGATGGGCTGATTGTAATGGCTGGAATGGAATTCATGGAACGCAGTCAAACATGTGTTTTCCATATGTTTGATGTCTTTGATAACGTTCCATTTATTCCATTGCAGCCATAACAATGAGCCCGTTCTCCTATAGCTCCTCCCACCAGCCTCCTCTGACGTACATTCAGCATGGCAGTATGCTACCGGTAAGGTGTACAAAACATAATAATTATAGCCTAGGCGTAATCATAGAATCACATATAGAATCCCTATGAATTTAATAGGATCTCTGTGGGCCTAGTAAAGATTTGTCATATAGCTTTTAACATGCATTACCTTTTAATGTAGCATAAACACAACCAGTCATGATGTTTTCATCTGATTGTCAAACAATCTCTTCGAAAAAGCACTCCTCTAGGCTACCTATGCACGTTCGTCCACTCACAAAATATTTCAGCATCCAAACAGTGCACTGTGCACCCACAATTTGATGAATGGAAAGAAGACATATTTTAGAAAACACCTAAACTTGTATTATGATTACATTCTGCGATTGTCATTAGGCCTACACTTGTAGCCTGATGTCCGCGCGCTTCTCGGTATCAGCTACTCATCTCCGCCTTGGCAAAATGTAAGTGTTCTCGTCAAACCACAACTCAATTTGGAGCGTATACCACCGGGTTTCTAGTCAATTAGAAAAAAAATTATGAGGCCGACATGCGGTAATGTTAAATAATGGTGTCATAATACATCGTTTTCTTGGCATTTTGTGTTAATTATTGTGATAGGCTCACGTTTTACCGGTATGGCATACCCCCACTATCTATTTTGCCGGAACGCCGGAACGCCGGCCTACTTTCACCCCTGGGTAAATCTTCATTATAACACATAGCTTTGCCGACAAGAATGGGCACCTTAACAAACTATGGTCATTAACACTATGGTTCTGCTGTGTGAAGGCCTAGTGTGTTCAATAATTGAGAAGGC